GCTGATGGTGATGCTGCTGGGAATGGTGATGGTGGTGATGCCTCGGCGGCTGCTGTGGCGGATACTGATAGGCCCCGCCATTGGCCTGCTTGTAGTAGTTGGCATTGTAGTGATACTGCTGCTGGAACTGCAGGGCGTAGTGCTCAAAGTTGGCATAGGTCACCAGCTGCTCCGGTGGCTCTGGGACCACGTGGCGCCCCTTCATTATGTGTGCTATGTCGTTCAGCATCTTGGACATGTCCAGCGAGGTGATGAGCTCAAAGTTGATGGCATTGAGCGCCTCATTTCGCTGATGGCGCTTGTCCTCCACGGGCAAGAAGTAATCATCCTGCGAGATCAGACGCACCTCGCCAATGGTGTACGGGGAGTTCCACAGCGGAGCTCCACACAAGGGTCTGAAGTAGTCGTGCAGACTATGGGCCAACGTCGTCTTGCCACCACAGGTGACGCCCGAGATTCCAATGACCAGCCACTGCGGCATGTTGTCCTCGACTGACTGACGCGCTTCCCTGTTACTCAGCGGAATCGTACGTTCGGGGCTGATAACCCCTGGATAACCCCCTTAATCGCGCTTCACCCTCAGGCTCCAGATGTGGTAGAAGGAGAACGCGGCGATGCCGCCGAGGAAGATCACCCCGAACACAGTGGGCACTATGAAAGCGTACTTCAGCGGTGGAAAGAACAATCGAATAGGATTACCTGTGGGAGGTAGAAAAAAATGGTCGGTCAGGTAATACTCAATAATACATAAAATTGATTTGTATTTCAAGTCGGTATTTTAGTTTTAGCCGAATGCAATAATTTAGTTTTTAAGTATAAATACTTGCTCTAATAAAAAGATCATAAGTAAGGAAATGAAATTGATTACTTCGCTGACATACACAGTTTACGTATTTGTGTATAATTTAGTTGTTTATGGTTTTAATTTACTTACAAACAACAAATAAAATTTTTCCCTTATTGATATGGTACAGATCTAATGAGTGGAACTAGAAAATATAAGACTGGACTGTTTTTCTGCGTTTTATTTGTGATTATGGGAGCTTTACGATTAGATTTTATATTTTTAGGCTAGCGTTTCGAGCAACAAATTAGATTGCTCACTGAATGGAAAGTGCATACCCGTTCAGAGTAAAAGTTATTAAGCGAAAACTATTGACAATAATCAGTTGACAATTTGTAGTTCTCTAGGTATGGCTAACGTGCTACAGGGGATGACGTCTATAAACAAAGGCTCATGACTGTTTTTTAATTTCCTACTAAATACGGTTGTTTAAACAAGGTTTGTTTGGGTAAGGCTGTCTCTCGATATGGTGGATATTTTAACGACTCAAGTCAAGATCATGTGTAATATGAGTGATGGAATTTCAGATCCATTACCTACAGTGTAATTACAGTGGTAAAATAATTAAGAGGTGTGTACTTAAGGTATATGTATATAAAGATAATATTTAATGATACTAAATGTTACTTAAGACATATTTAAACGACTGCGCACATATCCGGTGACTACTGTACTCTCCGCATCTCTGCTCGTGGGTGACCTTGACCCGAGCTTAGAGCGTAGTAGAGCCGCATTCCAGGTAACCCCGGTTTCGGACCGCGATTTCTGGGAATCGGATGGGCTGCCGCCCTCACACACCCATTTTATATGTAATATGTACCTATATCGTGACCAATTTACGCCGCGGCGTCACTTTAATTACTGCACAAAAGCGGCGCGAGATTATTCAATAAAACTTATAACCGAGAGAAAAAGCCCCAGACTTGTCCGCCGAACTCACCTTCATCGATGAGCATAAACGGGAGGACGGCCACCCAGAAGAAGTAATAGAAGAACACGGCGATTGCTGCTATCAAAATGAGTTTTCCGAGTTGCGCATTCGAAGCCATAAATAGCTATTCTCGGAAATTCTGGGGTTTCTCGGGCGACAAAACACGCGACCGGCTCTGATTTCTGCGGAAGACTGCTCATGGGGCGTTCTCCCCGGGGCTTTGCACTGCTCCACTGTTCAGTTAACCACGTTTTGCTGGGCGAATCTCCAAGTAATCCTAGCTCTGGCCCGAGTAATTGTAAACAAAACAAACAAGTGCGTGCTCAAAAAAATTTCCAAATCCAAGTGGTTAGGGATGGTAAACCACTTCAAATATACCGAAATATATACCAAAAATATTTCTTAAACGGTCACTCTGAAATGTCAAAAAAGTGTCTTCGCTGACATAGCGGGGACACCACCCTCCTGGCATAGCGATTTCTATCACCTGGCCTCCTAAAATCGAAGAAGAAGACTTATTGTGATGTAAACAAACAATATTTAAATGCTTACACAATGGTGAAAAAGGCTCAAGCGAAACGTCGTCCGTGGGTGAAGAACCTCTACTCGAACCGGGAGTATCCGGACAACTACACGGACGCCAGCTTCCTGAAGGATCTGCGCACGAACCTGCATGTGAGGATATACACGTTCGGCGAGGCGATGGCCGGCATCACTGTGCTAAATAACCAGATATCCTGCATCACCGGATTCCTGATACTCTACCAATTGATGCTCAGCGATAGTGTGTCGCCCACCACGATCCTGCTGCCCAGCTGCGGGGTTACAGGGATTGGTTACCTGTGCTACCGCGGCAGGACTCTCAGCTGGGCGCTACTGGGCGAGGACTCCAAAACCCTGGTCACCGTGGTACTCTTCGGCTACCTCTTCTCACCGATGCTGCATACCCTCACCCAGGCCATAAGTACGGACACCATCTACACGATGACCTTCTTCGTCTTGCTGGGCAATCTGATATTTGGCCATTACGGCTTGGATGTGGCCATGGTCTCCAAAGTAGTGATTGTATTGTATTGAGTTAAAAGTGTTTGTCACATTTCCTTGTTAATCCCAGGCCATCTCGCTGAATGCCGCCATATTTGGAGCCATTTGCCTGGCATCCCGCCTGCCGACCTCGTATCACGCCTTCGTTCTCCTCGTCGAGGCCGCCGTCTTCTTTGTGCTGTATCCCATTATGACGGAAGCGAATTGGCATGCTGCATTCATGTTGCCCATCTTTGCCATATGCTGCCTGGCCCTGTACTGGATATCACGGCCGGTACTCTATCTGTACGCCTCCACCACTGTCTTCATCAACTTTGTCTGTCCGTTCATATTCGTATGGCAGCAGCAGTACAAGTTTAATATCCACGGTCCCTGGGACGAGGCCATCGTGGAGGAGAACACCGACGAGAACCTGGATGAGAACTTATAGCGGCAGCTCCGCTTCTCAGAACAGCTGCCGCCACGACCCGGTGGAGGCGATGTCGGGGAGCACTTCACCAATCACTAGTAATTTGCACGCTTTTTTGTATATCTCTGTAAATGTCTTAAATTTTTTAGAACTCATTCCAAGCCATTTTAGTGTTGATTTTTTGTTATGTTATGTGTTTCTAGTTTGTAAGTATGCTCTTAATAAATTATACTCTTAAAAAGATAGAGATTAGTTCTATTAATTATGGATGTATAAAAATCTCAGTTTTCAATTTTGATGTCCTATTTAAAAGACATTGACAATTTGAACTATTAAAGTTTTATTGAGAAGCGTTTCAGATAAAACATGGACCATATCGTGTTCTTGATTACACTACGGAACCTGTGGGTGGTGGAACTTTAGTTGTTATGAGACTTTATTTCAGGAGCTGCTTAACAACATGGAAGGGTAGAAATCATTTATGAAATTGTTTCTCTCCACCTGTGAATGCATTGGTCTTTATGAAACTCCAATACCTTTTATTTTATTTTGATCAATTTATTTCATCTATTTAATTAATAGCCCAGTTCCAACACCTTCATAAGTTTGTCCTACTGAAACTAGTTATTGAAGATTAATGTTATTTTAAATCTACATTTCATTAGCATTTTCCCGCGAATCTGAGGAAACGCATACATTTTATCTGAATAATTATTATAAAGTTTAATGCACTTTATATTCAACTGTATCTCGCATCTTCTTTGTGGTTGAAACTAGTTTTAATTATATAAACACAACACACGCCCACTATAAGTGTGCCTAAGTTGTCGACGTTTCAGTAGCAAAAGGTTAACATTTGTTTTTCCCGTATGAATATTGATTGGCGGGAAAATTAGTTCAATAATGGTTTCGAAAGAATTTGTACGGGGTTAACCCACAGGTAGTACAAGTCAATTTGTTTTAATTTTTCGTACAGTTTGCGGTTAGAACTGGTTTCATAGATAACAATTAAACATACTACTGCACATACATTGTATATATTCAACCTAATATAATGCAAATAAATGCAAGCAATTATTTTAATCATAGTCTATGAAATATGGACGAGTGGCATCTTCATTAACGGCATGCTTTTAAGGGGTTTCCCTAGAACCTTTTATATAATGATATCTTATTTGGTTAATATTGAAGAACCCTAATTCGGTTTATACCGAATTTCTCAAGTGCGCACTACCTTCTTTGGAGATAAAGATTCTAGAATCACTTAATATCTTATTCCGTCAAGTTGATGTACTGAATTTCTGCTATTTATTTCATTGTATACATCAGAATGACTTAATCTAATCTAGGCCGTTATGAATAAATGTATAAATTCTACTTGAAAATAATTGGCTCTTCGTTTAGATCGACATCAAATCATTCGATATCGACTTTAAACTGTACTTGTTTCTAATAATTACTGCCATTATTTTGTTCGATCGCACTTTTCATCCTCAATTTTTTTATACTCATAAGATAATCACAGTTACCTGTAATTTTTCACAGCTTAAAAAAGATGTATCCCCAATTTCAATTTCAATACTACGAGATTACTTGAGATTCAGATTAGTTCGATGATTACAAACAAATGATGAGAAGATTTCTACCGTAGCAGGTTATAGATTATTCAACCGTGAAATAATCAAGGGAAAAACCAGAGCAAGTAAGCAAACACACTGTGTATTCAAAACCAAAAATCCTGGAAAACCCCGGAACACAAAGAGCCAAGTTACTTTGCAACCATATATGTATTTGTAGTTCTCAACCAATGCTACACATTAAGATAGAGTAGTTTATATGGGATTTCGAGCCACGGATTTCGGGACTTTTTGGGAACATCCACCGAAGAGGAAGCAGATTTAGCATCCTTCGCACCAGCACTTCAGACTGGGGCTGCAGTGTCCACTGACTCGTCCTTCCTCCTTGCACACACGACGGCAAGTCTCATTGTCCCAGACGGCACAGGGACCTCCATATCTTCCGGAAAGACAGTCGGCATCCGCTTCCTTGGCGCCCAGGATGAAGATGGTCATCACAGCCAGGAAGAAGTACAGGAACTTGAACTGCATCTTGTTACTTTTCGTAGTTTTTTACTGGTAAGTAGAGCACTGCTGCGCTTTTATAGGGTCGGGATCTCTCTGCCCACCAATTTGGATTCTGCCAGCGTCAAATAATTAGCAGATAATTACAGTTAATAATTTGAGAACACATTATTAAATGCAGTGTATTTGATTTTAGGTGCCTACTTTAGGGCATAAAAAGAACCCACATAAATATTCTGCTTTAAAAACTAGCAATGCAGTTTTGGTTTCTGTTTATGATAGCATACCTCATTAGTTTTCCAATTTTATTGGCATCATTGTTAATTTTACCCAAGATGACTTATTTATCACGAGACCATGAAACGAGTTGAACTCTTTACTAAATTAAGAAAACCCATAACAAGTGCCATAAACTAAATCTGAGATATCCGTCTGTAATATGAATAATTTGTTAATAAATTCAAAATAATTAAAAAAATATTTTGTTCTGTCATTGTAATCATATGCTAAGTTTATGCACAATGATTTATTTATTTGTTTGTCGAGTAAACTAAGGAAAACCAGAACAAGTTTTTTGTGAAATGATCTTGGAAAAGCCGGCTGTTATACGAATGATTTGTTAACCTGCCTTAATTAATTAAGAATGATGCAAATAAAGTTGTATTGCAATAACCTATGAATAGCAATGAAAAACATTGCCTAAAAATAATATTTTTAAATAAAAAAAAAAAATAAATGTGGGCGTTAGAGTGGGCGTGGCATATTCGCGTAATAAACTTGCGCTGCGTATAAGGCTACGGAATCTAAATCTGAAATCCCAATTCTCTATCTTTGATAGTTTCCGAGATATCCTTGTTCATATTTACGATTTTTTGAAGTTTGTGGGCGGTTTATGGGCGTTAGGGTGGGCGTGGCAAACTTCTTGTTGGGTCAACCGATAGGTATTGATGAGAACATTACATTTCAGTTAAAATTTTTATTCTAGCATCAAAACTGTAGGATTCAATTTTGGGCGGTTTGTGGGCGTTAGAGTGGGCGTGGCACTCTACTGAAACAAACTTGCGCTGCGTAAGAAGCTCAGAAATCTGCACGCCAAATCTCAATAGCCTAGCTCCCATAGTTTCCGAGATCTCAGCGTTCATCCGGACGGACAGACAGACGGACAGACGGACAGACGGACAGACGGACAGACGGACATGGCTAGATCGACTCGGCTAGTGATCCTGATCAAGAATATATATACTTTATGGGGTCGGAAACGCTTCCTTCTGCCTGTTACATACTTTCCGACGAATCTAGTATACCCTTTTACTCTACGAGTAACGGGTATAATAACAAAAAATATTTATAACAATGTATTTTGTTGTACATCGTGATAAGTCGCAGAAAAAAATAAACCCAAAGTTATTTTATAAGACTCTGTAACACTTGTTGAAGAAGACTTACCTATCCAAATGGTGTAGTAAGTTTGACTAACAGTTAAAATATAGTTTTTGCCGTGATATATATTTTTTATTTATTTGAAAGAACAATAAAAAGTACATAATTCATGTGTAAATATTAGCGAATATAAACACGTTTAAATTGGAGTGGCTTTAGCATCCTTCACACCAACACTTCAGGCTGGCACTGCAATGTCCACTGACATGTCCTTCCTCTCCGCAGAGGCGGCGGCACTGCTCTCCATCCCAAGCCCAGCAAGGACCACTGAATCTTCCAGAGAGGCAATCAATGGCCGATGCCGTGTTGGCCACCATTAGAACGATGGTCATCACAGCGAGGATAACGAACAGGCTTTTGAGAAGCGCCATTTTTATAACAATTCTTTTAGTAAAATGTTTACTTTGAGTTTCTCGAACTAAAATGTGCGCTTATATAGGCTCAGAATCTATGCGTTAAGCAACTTGCATCATGGTGAAAATGCAAATAAGTGCAATATAGTTTTTGAGAAGGTATACTTTACGGCTTCTCACATAAGCAGAATTAATTGATAATTAATGCAATTTTCTAACTTATCTTATTATTGACTTTAAATGAGTTTAATATAAAATCTTACCAACGCAGGTGATATTGTAATCACAGATAATAATTGCAGTGTATTTATTAGAAGGTGCCTACTTTAGGGGATGGATAGAACACATATAGTAATTCCATAATAAAAACGATCTATGCATATGTGTAAAACCGGCATTTCTTTTCCATTTTTTTGTTTGAGGAGAGATCTACTATTAATTAAATTTAATGAAATCTTAAATATGTACATTAAATTAAAACACAATTTATCACGAAACTTCAAAAAACAGGTCTAAATTGTTTGAATAATGAAACCGATTCAATAGTATAAATAAACTGAAGAAAACTTGAACAAATCCCATAAACTTAACTATCAATCCAGCTGCTTGCAAAATTATAAATAAAAGTATTTTCAATTAAGTTTTATTGAAATATTATATGGATTTGTATTTATTGACTGACATGACAAAAATAGTAATCAATAAAAAATATACTTGTTTACACATTTCGATAAACTTTGTTGGTGATTTTTACATTACTAGAGATCTTTGCCTAAAAGTACGTAAATTTTAAGGTGTTCTAATGCAATAAAGCTTTTTATTTTTTAATGGCAACTTTTTGAGACCAACAGCATTTTTGAACTATGAAAAATTCCTGATTTATTGTTTTCTTATAAATATAATATACAATTTAACAATTTCTGACAAATCGTAAAAATTGTATATTCAATAACCTCTAAATGAAACCAAAACTATTAGATGTAAAATAGAAATTATAGATTGTTTCATGATGCATATTTTTTATTTGTTTTGGAGTACAAAAAGACATACATAAATCATGTGAAAATATTTAAGAATGTAAGCACGTTAAAAATTAAGCAGCTTTAACATCCTTCGCACATGCACTCCATACTGGGACTGCAGTGGCCACCGGTACGACCTTCATTTGTTACGCAGGATCTTTGACAAAATTCAGGATCGAATTCGAAACAGGGAGGACCGACTGTTTTCGAAAGACAATCCTTCGCAGCTGCCATGTTGGCGAACAGCACAATTATAGTCACCAGGGCATCGATAACAACCAGGAACTTCATTATCGTCGAATAACACGTTGTGTTAAATTGAACTCTATTTGAATCTCAAAAGTGCTTATATAGGCTCAGAATCTCTGTGCCCAGTAACTTGCGTTTTGGTGAAAATGCAAATAGTTGGAACACAGTTTTTAAAGGCATACTTTTGTGCTTTCCATAGATGAATTTTAACTAGAACCACTTGTGCTGATCTCAATATGTGTCTATATCATTGACACCAATGATATATGTATATCATATTTATTCATATACATACAATGGTCATATACTTTTTTTTTTTTAAAGTGAGATGAAGTCTACTCGGTTGGCTAGACTACTTTCAAAAGAATATTTGATTAAACCAGGTATCCGTTGAGCCATTGCTAAAGACAAATCCCGCCACCACCCAAATCATCTGATGTCAATTAGCTTGGACTGATTATGTTTGGCGTTTATTTACAAACAAATACAGGTGAAAAAAATGAATGCAGATCATAAAATAATACATTATGTTTGCATTACAAATGTATAGTCACTTTAAAGTTCGGTACGGTTAAAATTAAATATATAAACTAGTTTCTCGGTTGTGGTAAAAACATTTTTTTACATATAGCGTTACAACTACTAAGATTAAGGGACTATGCCTAACCATTCACAAACATACATGCGTATATAACTATGTATTTTGTAAACTGTGTTTAGTCATTTGCTAATCCGTAGGTAACTATTGAATACAATAATTTATTTCACGTATATATAAACTTTCTCAAAATGTAAAAAACGTAGTACATATGTATTCTCTGTTGGTTGGGCTCACTTATCGACTTATAAACTAATGCAATTAACTACAATCGAATAGATTTAACATACTATATAGTATATGAATGACATATTCATAAACTGCATGTTCTTCCTTTAAACTTTGTGTCCTCAGAACTATTAGATAATCGTGTTTTTTTTCTTTTTTGATTTTACTTTAATTAAACTAGCTCAGTGGTCAGGGTCAGGCCACTCTCATTTAAATTCCTAAATTCCACTAAGAACAAATAATGATACAAACACTAAAACACGAACGCTGCACCATGGCAGACCAGTCTCCATTGCAGCGGTTTGCATAATTAACGTTAAACTAGACTCCTAATTAGAGGGCCACCTCATCACCATTCCTGGTGCTCAAAGGTGACACCTGCTCCTGATACTGCTGTTCGGCCTGCAACTGAAGCTCCCGTCGCCGCTGGGCGGTCACCGACAGGCCGATATTGCCGTCCACCTGTGCGCTGGAAGCCACTTGGTTGTTGGCGCTTGGCTCGTACATTATATCACGTATTGATGTTGCTGCTGCTGCTGTTGTGGCTGTTGTGACTGCCGTTGTTGTTGCGGTTGTGGTTTCCGTTTTGGTCGTGGCAAAGTGTACATGTTGTTGCGCCTGCTGTGGCTGTCGTCAAACCAAATCGCTCTTCGGCGTTGACGTCGCCCCTATCGCAACCGCAGGCGCTCCAGCGGTGGCGCCGCCAGTGGCTCCCTGGTTGCCATTGGACGCGGCCTCCAGCAGAGAACCGGCCTCCACATCGCCGGCCTGTCGGGCGGCATTTCGCTGGCGGCACAGATACGGCGAGTTGGTGGGTGAGGGCAGTGGGTTCTGTAAATAAATTTCACGTTTCAATACACAATTTCCCCACTTGCATATAGACAAGGTAAACCCACCAATTTGTTGTTGTTCTGGCAGCATGTGGCCTTGACACATCCCTCATCCGTGGTGGGGCAGTCCAGGGCGCAGCAATCGGAGCCGCTCATGTTGATGCTGGATGTGCCGTCGGACATGTTGCAGCCCTCGATCTCGCTGAACTCCGGCTGGATGGTGGTGGAGTGGATACCCTCGTTGTGGAAGAACTCCTTTACCTTCTCGGCAATCTTCATGTACTCCGACAGATTGCGGCACCTAAAAGGGAATGGAGAATATTGATTAGATTGTTTATTAAACTAAGGGTTACTTCATATTAAAACTCACCTTATATGGGCTGAGGCGATGATGCGATCGCCGGCCAGCTGCCACACATGGAACTCGTGCACAGCCAGCACGCCATCAACTTTCTCCAGAAGCCTCTTCTGAATGGCATCGACTTGGATGTGCGTGGGCACCGTCTGCAGCAGGATCAAGGCGGACTCGCGCAGCAGCGGCCACACGGAGTGCAGGATCAGCACAACCAATACGATGGACAGAGCGGGATCCATATAGAATCGGTACTTCCACTCTGTCTTCCACACCACCACAGCACTGATCACCACAATGATGCTGCCGAGGGCATCGCTCAAAACGTGCAGGAAGGCACCGCGCATGTTCATCTGGCCGGGATCGTGGCTGTGTCCATGGCTGGACTTCTTTACCGGCGGCTTCTCCTTTTGCTTCTCGTAGGCAAATTCGTTCTGCTCATCCTCGCCCTCGTCCATGTTGGCCAGCTCTGTGAGGCGGCTGTGGTTGCGGGTAAGTCCGGCGCCATGCGAGTGTCCATGGTGACCGCCGTGCTCTGTGTATTATATTAGGTTAGGTTTTGGTCGCATTTTGTTTTTGGTTGGTCTTACCGTAAAGCAAACACAGTCCAATCACATTCACCAGGAGTCCTAGAGCTCCCACGATAACCAACAGTTCAGGCTCGTGAATCGGTTCCTCTTCAATAAATCTGAAACAAATCAAATAAAGTATTACATTAAAACCTTTTGAGTTCAATGATTTCATTGAATGTTAATTATCGCCTTTGTTAAAATTATATTGAGTAGTTCTACGAAAGTGTACAATCCTACATATTGAATTCAAATACAACCTAACTATGATTACGTTATCAGCAATCTGATTAAACAACTAGACATCTCTGAAGGCCGTTTAGAAATAAACTTATTAACCCGGTTAGATTATATTTTTTGAACAGTGTAGCTGGCGTCTCCAGGGAATCGGTAGCTATTGGCAACGGACTCACCTCGTAAAGCTTTCATTAAATATGCACAAAATGCCTCCGGAATGTAAATTAATAAGTGTATAATTCACAAAACCCAATGCACATATACAGACGCAAAGTTGGCAGTAAAACCCAAACGTATCACAACAAATTAGCTCACAGACGGAATCGAGTGATTCAAGAAAATATAAACAAATCACGTTAACATATGTCGATGCCAAGGCGAGCTTATTGCTCGTAACACGGCTTACTGCTCACAGATCGCCGGACAAGTGGGTCTGGGTGTGGATCGTTGATCCGTAATTACTCCCGATATTATTGCCATGGAAAGTAGTTTACGATGGTGACAAGGAGTGAAAAACGTACCATATAAGATCAAGTTAAAATGTGTTTCTAAAAACCTTAACTATTTTTAAAATGAGTTAGAGCAAGGGTAGCTTTTGGAAGCTTTACTTTATTGATTTGTTTGGAAAGCGAATTCTAGGGATATTTGCTCTTTTATAAATAAGATAAACAAGAAATTGCCTTTTTTGCAAATTTTGAGTTGCTTGTTTCTTTTTATAAGTGATGGCGAAGCTTCATGGAAGTCTCAGCTGCAGAATAAACAATGGATAAAGGAATTGAACCATTTGAAGAGCAGTAGAGATCTTCGTAAGTTAAATGATAAGGAATCTTAATATTATTTTATTTGTAATAACTAGTCAATTCGTTAAAGATTTCTTTGTGTTTTATGGGACTGGATTGGACACTCACCTCTTGCAGGCCTCGATGGTGATGCTGAAGCACAGGGCCACCAGGAAAACAGCGTTGACCAAAGCACCCAAAACCTCAGCCCTGGCCCAGCCGAAAGTGTTCTTCGACCACTTTTTCGGTGACATCTGTCGAGATAGGAGGTGAGTGATATAAGTTATATTTCTTGGTAGACGACAGGGACTTACCTTCACAGACAGAAAAGATATGACCAGGGCGGCGATGTCGCCCAACATGTGGAAACTATCCGCCACCAGGGCCATCGAATTGGTAACATAACCCACTATGATCTCCACAAAGAAGAAGAACGCCGTCAGCCACATCATCGAGAGCAGCCGGCATTTCTTGCCCGAGTACTTGGCCATTTTGGAGAAGCTGCAAGAAAGAGAAATATGGGAATATAAAATATTAAGCATTATCTAAGTAACATTTTATTTTTAGAATGGTAAGGGAAAAATATGATCCAACTAGTAAATCAAACAAACAATATTCCTAAAGTTCTTGTCTTTTTTTTGCAATAAATAATGCAATAAAAAACTTGGAGTCATGGAAACAAGAGTACGTATAATAGATTTCCCCACAATTTATTTACCAAAGAAAGCCGAATTTGGTCTTGGAGAAGCTTGGCTGTTATTTAAGTCCCCCGCCTAATCAATGTTCCCTCAATATGGCTTTCGAAATATCAATCAAAGTTTGCTCTCGGTTCATTCAACTGCCTTTTATGCAGTCAAATCGCCTGCAATGTGCCAAGCTCTGAAATTGTTATTGCACAAAGAGAAAAAACACTGAGACACGCACGCCCAAACAAATTACCAACAAATTGAGTTTTTCAATTGTTTTCCATTGTTGCTGCTCGAACAGTTTTCCATTTAGTTCCATTTAGCCTTTTGTTTAGGCAAAAGTTTTAGTGCCCCTCATCAGGGAGCGATTTAATTGAAAGAGCGGGTATAAGGAGAAAATAAACCCGAACCCAGATGGGGGGACTGAAAAAGGGGCTTGGCAATAGTTTAAATTGTACTTCGTAGATTTTATGGACAAAGTCTCGGTTCAGTAGATCTGGGATTTCCATATTTCCGACTCACGCGAAGAACTGCATATCGGCCTGGAAGACTTGAGAGGACTGTTGTTCCTCCAGAACTGAATTAGCTTGTGTCTGGCTTTATTTTAAATCGGGAATGGCTTGCCAGCCATTGAACGCTATGGGTAAACAAAAACAGAAAACATTTTCAACTGAATCGACAGTGTATCGGCATCGGTCGAAATCCCACCGGTTGCCAGGCGAAATCGGGGTATAATGGCAGGGTTTACGGGGTGGTAAACACAGAAGGGTGACGTTTTATTTTTCATTATTTCTTTCTGCTGCTGTGGCGACGGGCAAGAAAACAATTTGCATTTTCGGCTAAAAAGCCAACAACTATTGCCCGTTGGCCAAGCAACTATGTAGCTAGGGATTGACGTCTATTAAGAAACAAATACTATGCGACATCATGAATCGAATTCTCTATTCCAGATGGTTCTAAACTGACTCAAGTGCTAAAAACAATATTCACAGGTTTAGACATTATACTTCCTATGAAGGGGCGCTCAATGCTTGAGCTCAAGAAAGATGAGATATATGTAGTTCTTGGAAAGAAAATGTTTATGATAAGGAAATATCAATTGGTTTAGGATACTAAATATAACACTAGAATACTTAAGATATATGTATTGTACTTTGACTTTCTTCGGCTTTCTTTTGTTCCTATACCAAATATTTTAGTATTTCTCATTAGCCAGGCTTTACTGTCCGGGAATCCGCATCAACGATTACACAATCTCCTCGTGTAGCTGTTATCTCGAACCGCCACTCCCTCCTATCCATAAGCTTTTACTGTAGAACGCTCGGCACACGAGACGCCAAAAACAAAGGGGGCTTTTTGCTTTTTGCATTTTGATTTTATCTACGCCAAAAGCGATCCTATCGCATGGGTAACGTGTGCAGTAATGCCAATAAATGCGTGCCGTATTCCCAGCCCGATCTTCTGGTTCCACGTTTCTGTGTAAATCTTCTCCATATGTGAATACCTTTAGCTACATATGACTAAACTAGATAAACAGGGCTGATAAGCCGGCTGCGGGCGGTTCTTTTTTTGGCAGCATGTGCGCAAAAAGCAAACAATTCACCGCTTATCGGATGAACTGGGGGCCGGAAAAGGTAGAGGGAGTGGGTCCGGATTGACGGGATGAGCACCCGAGACCAGGAGTCGTCGCTCCATACAATATAGGCTACTTCGCAAACTAGCCAAATGTTAAAAAGCGGGCAAAAAGGCAAACATTTGTGCTTTTTTTATGGTTTTCCCTTGGGTGCACTCAATCTGACACTTGAGGAAAATACTAGTTAAATTCCACGATTGAGATGGCTTGGAAACACAACAGTATCAAATATCTTTCTGGGTCTAGGGGTTTCTGCTTGGAAAAATAGATCTTAACACCTCAATTGGAGAAAACATGTTTAAACCTGATCAAAATTAGTATTTACACTTTTTACTTTACATTTCACAGTTTTTAGAAACATTTTTGGAATGCTTTTATAAAGGTATCACTATAAAGTTATATTATATTCATTTGAAAACTAGTGTGATCAATAGTGATAAGCGATTAACCTGATCAAAAGACTATTCAAAAATTTTTTCACTTTGATTTACAACATTTTCCAAGTGTATAATAGATATACAATAACGTTCACCCACGATCTTTAGGCAAATGATACAATTGAACAAGTGCAGTGCGCACCAAGCGAATTAATCTAGAATCAACAATGAGCAATGAAAGGAAATGAGCTGAATCACATATGTAACTTACAAGTGCCGAGTGGAATCCAATGAAAATGTTAATAATGGTAAATATATAAATGTAATATAGACTTTAGAGGAACGTGCGGAAAACCTCGTCCGTTCACACGCGAATAAGCACTGCTCGAATGCCTGGGCCAAATGACCCTACCTGGCCTTTTGCCGTTTTTCACAGGCCTTTTGTGTTTGAACAGGTACAAAATCGCAGATAGGGACTGTGCTGTGTTGGCCTGGCCAACAAAGTGGTCAACTGGCGTGGCTTAAAATGTGTCACTTGCAGCTGATAGTAGATACCCAATACCCGATAGCCACCATCGTCCCGGAGAGCTCTTAAGCCCCTCCAGGCGGGCGGCCCGCGATTGGCGAACGTGATCCGCATAAATGGGACTTACGGGTCCCCAAAACTAACAAACTATGGCCAGGCCATTGATGAAATATCAGAGTCTCTTTCGCGCCTGTTGGCTGACCAAATATTTTGCCGTTTACGGCGGGTTGTGTTGTCACAGTCATCAAGAGAGTGAAGAGCGTTTAAAATACGGGTTGCACGTAGCTTATGTTAAAGCCCTTGGTCAAAAAGTTAGCTTAAACGATGGTGGAAATCCACAGAAACATTTTCTTTACAATACAACAATATCACCATTTTAGAATGTTTGAATACGATTGTAATACTGATTGTATTCCACCTAATAAATCTCCTAAGCTTGAAACATTTTAGCATACTACCTAAACTTAAACATTTTCAAAGTTCTTAAAAAGATAATTTGAAATTTTTACTAAGACAAATGGAAAACCCTAGTCACTTGTCAAATAGAATATGCCCATAAAATACATTTTTTATTAGGTCGTTGGCTAATAAATATGCCATATTTGAAACCATTAGCCAAATTACTTAAAGGGAGCTTTCTATATTGGCACCCACCTTAAATATTTCCCTTTAAAGATAATTCAAATTTAATTTTAGGCTGACATTGGACTTTGCAATTTGTCCTTGGCTCTAAAAGTACGTGATGTGCTCTACAAAAATATATAAAATAAAATATGAGCAAAGCAATAATGTACAAAAAGAAATCTAAAAGGAAATTTGGAATGTTTATATTAAATTTCCGGCTTGGCTTGGCTCAAGGACTTTTTGGGTGGAAAGGGGCAGTATATCGTATACCTATACTATATATGTAAGCAGTCAGTTTCTGTCCTATGTGAAGAGCACGTGACATGCGTGGCCTACGCAATTAATTCAAGCCATTTAACATGCAGCTCACAGTCGACTGATTCAAAGTACGAATTTGTTAGATCGGATGGGGGACTATATAATTGTGAGTGCGGTGGCATGTAAAACACATGCACTCTCGGCCGGCGAAACTGGGCTACAAATATTCTAGGTCAGGTGGTTTAATTGGCCTCTCCATCTCCAGTTGCACTGAACAAGTATTCTCCGCCCAATTGCCCCCGGACAACTGGGATTCGGATTTGGATTCGGTTTCGGTGGTGTTTATGTGGGTTACTAAGCCAGAAACAAAGACGTTCAAACAAACATAGTTTCGTCTGTCCTAGCGATAAGAAATAATTTAGGTGATAAGCGGAAATCGATCGTTTATGCACGGAAAGTTGTACAAAGTACTCGAAATCACTCTTTTAGATAAGCCAACTGAATATTGATCAAAAAGTAATTATGAGATTGTGCAGATCTTTTATTGCTTTATTATGAAATAATAAAATATTCAAATGTAAGTGTTGAATTGAAGTGAGAAAATTTAACTTGAAATCTCCATAATCAAATCATGGTGATAAAACAATCAATGTGTTATATATGCCCAAACTCTATTGACTATTTTTATTTACTTAGGTGCTTGACACTCGCTCCAAGGTAAAATGTACCTTATTCACGACATTTAAAAGCAAAATGGCAATCAAATAATTATTTTAATGGCAAAAATTGCAGTTGACCCACAAACGAAAGAGAATCATTTGTTCTCCCCGACGACAACGTGGCGACGATTAACCCGGTTCTTTTGCAGACCTTTCGGGAACGGAAGGCGGCGGACGGAGGTGGAAGTGGAGCTGTGGCGCTCTGGAAAAAAAGGGCGTCGAAAAGAAAGGCAAAGTAAGAGCCGGAATGGGCGGTGGGAAGTCCAACCTAGTTGCGTTTTCCGAGAACAAAACAGAGAAAAAATATAAAAGAAAAAAAGTTCCATCGGCCTGGCAGAGAGGTAGATACTATGGGCATTTACAGACATTGCATGGATGTGTCAGCTAAAAATACTGGCAACTGAATTGCCCCAATTTGCATGAAGTGGCGGCGATAAACAAATAACAAAATTCACGAACCTGACAAATCAAATTTCAATGGATACAGTAGTATAAATGGGAAATCCTTTTTTTTCTATAGAACTGCCGAAAAACCATGTCAAGGTCGCTTGTGCATGATTCTCTTGGAAAGCCAGCTATCCAGCTACCTTTGAGATTAGAATATGATATGGTTGGTCCGCAGAGGAGAAATAACGCAGTGGGAGGAGGCTTATCTGGACCTAGGCTAACCTACTTTGG